CCTAGATAAGCAAAGGTTACCACGAGGCACACAATCAAACAGTAAACCTATGCTAATCAAGGAACTACCAGAGGAACAAAAAAACCCCCCACCCCCACCAGCACTGGCAAGGCATGCCACAGTATATAAATAGAGAGCAAACCCCCTCCCATTTTAGCACTGAAGATGTTAGCTAGCTGGGTAATGAAACATTTGCAAGAAAAGAACCAAGCTCAGAGAACCCCAAGGACTCCACGGCCATGTGATTCATTTAACAACGTGATTTGCTTAACGACCATTGTAAAAATGGTCATAAAATTAGGTCCAGTCACGTGGTAACTTAATTAATGACCATCCCACTTAACAATCAATTTTCCAGTCCCTGTTGTGGTCATTAAGCCAGCACTGCCTGAATTTTGGAGCCTTCCATAAGAAATGAACCTCATTGCTTTGAGATTTATGTCTGAAGCAGTCTTCCTGAAATTTTCTCCTCCAGATATAGTGATACTATAATTTCAGGAATCCCCAGTGCATAGCCATCTTGGAGAGCCTCAATTCAGGGAAGCCTTGTCTAAAGAGACCCTCACAGATTCATTCAATCTTATGTATATCATCTTATCATTCTTTTAAAAATGGTGAGACAGAAAAAAATACTTATATACTTAGTCTGCACTTGACAAACACTTGAATTTAATTATTTTAAATGTAAACTATTCTTTTTTACATAGTCTCGTTATCAACGAAGATAAAGTATTTAAGCATAAATATTCACCTAGAATAAGGCATATCTGAAAATGACTGTTGAGATAAAATTTCCTCTCCGCGACTTGCCACTGAACGAAGTAGATTCTTTTGCTCTGCTAGCTCTTTCTCTAGTTCCTAAAAAAATAAACAAAGGCAACTGCCTTAAAAATATATTTCTATTAATGAAAACTAGCGTTATAATTGTTTGGAAATATTTTACGTAGAAAGAAAAAATGAACTGAAATCAATGTATGTATATGTTTTTCAATAGTCAGTTTGATTTTTTCCAGAGAGCCACTGACAGAATTATATGAACTACAGTTAGGTTCTCCTAATTTTGGAATGCCCTTTCTCCCACAGCTTTTCCAATGCAATGAGAAAGATGATAGTGCCTCCTGTCTATCCATTCTCAGAGGCATTACATACTCAGATAGTAGGCATATAATTAAGTACAGGACACATCCCTTCAAAAAAAGTAAAGTAAGGAATAAACTAGAGACATGTATGGCTGGGAGCAATTTCCTGTAAGTTTCTATAATGTAAAAGCAGCAATAGGAGAGAAATGAAGCAGATTAGGGCTTTGTTCTTTGGGGAAGAACCCTTAGCCCTTTCATTCTAAGCTTTTTTGAACAAAATCATACCAAACTAATATTTGTCATGATGAAGAAAAAGAGGTACAAGATTTGTAACAAGATTTGACATACAGCAGCTTTCATAATTTCCAGGAAGATTATTTCATCTCTCACCTATACACATTATCAAAATTTGTCTTGAGGCTACATTTGTCTGTTCTCTAATTGGTCCAACAAAAATAACAATACTGTAAAGTGCTTGGAGCAGACATTAAAATGCTGCATATTAAAAAATGGAAAAGATTACAGGATGCAACAGAACCACTGTGGAAGGATTGTAGGAGGAGAACTGTATTAGTCTATAGTGGCAACAATTGTTATTATATAGTAAGGCCTTATTATATAATAATGGAAGTAACAGAGTAATAGTAACAGAGAATCTTATTTATAGTAATGGAAGTCTCTGTATATTATAGGCTGTACTTCAGTGTCGTATGGTTTAATTGGTCCAGTCATACATTTATTATAGATATTCACAATTGGAAACAGCATGCAAAGACCTCTACAGTTTATAAATTCCAAAATGAATAGGGTTCCAGTTTGGGCTGGAGACTGTGTTCAGAAATTTACACATTCAGGCTTATCCACTGCAGATATCCAGGCTCTCTATATGAAAACAGGAAGAGGGGCTAGGAAAGCCACACCACGTTGAGAAGAGTGTTACTGACACAGACATCCTGTACCTCAATTACACAGAGCCTCATTCATGATTAATGAGTAAAAAGAGTTTAAGATCATTCCTTAATCGTCTACATATATCCATGCAGAAATAAACACAATCAAAATCTCTAAACACATTTAAAATTTGCGTTTATTCAGGACAACACGCTCACTTTCTGTCTTTGTAGGATGCTTAGCTGCTGTTGTGAACGGGTTGTCTGGGCCTGAGCCAACCACTCTTGGACACTGGGATCTTGAGCTGTGACCAGATCTGATTCACACTCCTCCTTTTCCTGCAAAGCTCCCTGCTTTAATGAAGAAAAAAGGGTGGATGTGAGTAGGAAATACAAGCAGAATATGGATTTAGGAAAACAGGATTGCTATTTGAAGTGCAACTTTTCTAGTTCTTAGCATGATGATTAATATCCAGATTAAAGGCTTCTAAAATGGCAATCTGGGTTTCTAAAGAAAGTTTACTCAGAAGGCAAGGTATCTAAGGCAAGTATGGGGGTTTTGGGTAGAAAAGAGGTAGATGTGGCAAGAGGTGGCTTGTTTTGATGGACAGAATCTCATCTTTTAAAGACACAGCTCTATTTGACCTCTTTGTAAATATGATGAATTAATCTGGGAATGCAAGAAGTTTGTTTACTGTACCTTGTTACAATGATGCCTATTTCATGCCATTCAGAGTCAAATCTGTATCAAATTACTCAGAACAGCTTCTTAAATTATTTCCACATGTCTCACCTTATTATTTGCAGGGTTTTTCAAGATCAATATCTGAAATTACATGAGCTTTTAAGTCACTAATTTAGATCAGGGTTGGAATTAAAAAAGAATGGTATTCCTAATTTTAATATTCTATTTTATCTGGCAATGTGATTTGGCACACTGGCCAAAAGTAAGTTTTACTACTGTTCTTCAGGAACTGCAAGCCTCTGGTTACTATCCCTGAAAAATATCTTATGCTTTATCATCTAACTAAGAATTAAATATATAATAGGACTCATGTGCCAACAGATGTCTGGAACAAACCAGCATGCTGAAAAAAATGACATTTTGTCACTTTTCCTCACCTTCATGGATTCCTATGAATGTGATAAAACATCAGACTGTGAACACAGTAAATTAAAGTTAGTGACCTACCCCAAGGACAGATATTTTAAAAAGAGGTTTGAAATGGTAATGTATATGAATGAACTGCTCATTCAACATGGTAACTCTTCTATGTAGAAATAAGCCAACCAACCAACCTGGCAGATGATGTCCTAATTCAAAAGCTATGTTGAGAAGAAGTGGGAAGCCTTAATGTGCATAGGCAAGTCCATGCATGTATTCTATTCATAATGATCAGTGAGACATCCATATTGAAACTGAATTATTACATCAAACAAACTCCAAAATTAAAACACGCACCCTTACTCAGTTAAAGGACCTTACTAATGAAGCCTCTGCTTACCCATTTTCCTAGCCATGTAAACAAAAAAATGCTGTATTAGAATAAAACATTGTCTGCCATCTTCTCTCTGATTTTAACCAGTTAACTGCAATGAATTATTTATTTATTTATTTATTTATT